TGTCCCATTTTTCACCACCACCCCAAAAAAAGGTTTGGGAGGCCTGCAGAGTGTTCCTAGGAGCCGGGGAGGGCAAAAACTGTTTTTTTTTTTTTAAATTTAGAATCCAATTACAGGACTACTTTCTGCCAGCACAGAGCAAAAAGATGCTTGGGTGCGAGATAATATATACAGCATTTTGGCTGTCTGGGGCCTAGGGATGGCCTACAGGAAGAATGCAGACCGGGATGAAGATAAAGCCAAAGCATATGAATTAGAACAGGTACACATTGCGATTACACTTATTTCCTTATATGTGAATACATACATACATACATACATACATACATACATACATACATACATACACGCACATGTAAATGGTATCAATGCTTTTCTAAAAATATGTCCTTCATTTTAAATACATTACAAAATCTGTTAATTTGGGAGTAATGTTAAAACTTCAGAATTTAAAAAAGATAAACATGGATTTTTAATAACAACAATTTTCCTTTAAAGCTTTTGGTGTGCCAGCTTTTTTTAATATTATGATATCTTGATTAATTTATCATAAATTGACAGCACATCTTTAATATGTCAAAACGTTATCTAAGACAGAGGTTCCCAACCCCCGGGCCATGACCCATTCAAAATTGGCTGCATGAGTCACTGGCCAGAGTGTGTGTATATGGACACGCAGCTCAACTTGCACAATCAGGAGGTTGGCGGCCACTTGTGAGTGTGCTGCATGTGTGTGCTGTGCATGCTAGCTCGCCTCTCCCCAGGGGTGGGATTCAGTTCGGATGAACGAGATGTTAATTTTGCATCCAGTTCACCAAACCGATTGTTGCAAGGACCGCCCCGCCCTCCCAGGCGTCTCCACACGGCCTGTTCATCATGCCAGGTAAGTGCAGGGCCCGCATAGAATCTCTGGGAGGGCGAAAAATCATTACTATCCAAGGCCTTCTGGAAGTCTGGAAACGGGCCAATTTCCAGCCTTCAGAAGGCCTCTGGATGGTCTCCGGAGCCTGAGGCAGGCCATTTTCCCCCTCCTGAAGGCTCAGGGAAAGCTTCCAGAGCCTGAGGAGGGCAAAAAATGGACCTCCTGGAAGTTTGGAAACAGGCCTGTTTCCAGTGTTGGAAGGCCTCCAGATGATCTCTGGAGCCCGGGGCAGGCCATTTTCGTCCTCCTGAAGGCTGGAGGAAAGCCTCTGGAACCTGAGGAGAGCAAACACCCCCCCCCGGTGCAGGAGGCTGAGCAGGCCATGGCCACGCCCACCCAGCAATTGGGCAGAGAACTGGTTGCTAACATTTTTCAATCCCACCCCTGCCCCTCCCCCTAGCCCGGCCGTCAAGATGCAAAAATTAGGGACTGCTGATCTAAGACAAGTGTTTTCTTAAATATTGGAAGGATTCCACAAAACGGTATATAAATGCATAGATCTAGATATTCAATTTTTGCATGAGCATTGATCACTAGTTATACTGGAAGTATACCTTCTAAAAATTAAATTAGATAGTAATGATTTTTCTTATTCTTTTACTTCCATAGAATGTTGTGAAACTAATGCGGGGGCTCTTGCAATGTATGATGAGACAGGTAAAAAGCAACATGGATCTTTATTAACTTAATTTATAAGCAATGTCATAAAATCTAATTAAAGTGACTATGAGTTTTGGTGTAAAGAACACTGTTTAGTAACCCTGGAGTCGTCCTAAGATTGTGGGGAAAAAACTGATTTTTGACTGTGTGATCCCCCCCTTCTCTTTACAGGAAAGAGTTATAATCAATGTATTAAGTTTCTGTAATATATCTGTTTATAGTACTACTTTAAATGGTTCCAAGGTTCCCCTCCCTGCCCCAAAATCTGACCAAAATTGTTCAGTTCCAGTCAATATGTGTCAACTACACATATGCAATTTATAGATCACATAAGTAAATAACAAAGTATGCTTTCTTAGCTACAGTAAACTCTACTCCAAATTAAAGGACTATAAGATAAAATAGATAGACAGATAGATAAATACATAAATAAAAACAGTAAATGAAGCCTTGCTTATTTTTAGATTGAAATTAGTTATTTAGAGAGCTAATTTTTTTTTCTTTAAGTAAAACTCCATTTTGTTTACATTGATAAGAACATGATCATGAATTGGTTTGGCAATTGTATCAAACTCAGGTTTGTTTCTATGATATTTTAAGCATGATGTATTGGCCACATTTAGAGTAATTTATATCCCTGTTTAGCAGCTGAAAATTAAGAATTCTACCTAATTCCAAATTTTGTATTTTTGCTAGTTATCCCAATGTGATGTAAAATATATCTGATTACAGAGTGACTGGAAGTTAAGTTTTCATCTGTTTTTTTTTTAATCCAAGGTGTTACTGTTGCAGTAATATGTTGCCACACTAGACTAAATATTCCGTTCAAAAGTAATCTGCTCAATTAGATTTGGGTTTTGATAAATATTTTGAATAAGAATGAGAAAAAGTCAGTCTGGTGTTGTGCTTAGGTACCAGGCTAGAAATTGGGAGATCATAAGTTCTAGTCTTGTCTTAAGCAAAAAGCCAGAGTGACTTTATTTAGTTATTTATTAGATTTATCTGTCTTTGAGCAAGTTACTTTTTCTCAACCCTAGAAGTAAGGCAGCGGCAAACCATTTCTGATATTTAGCCAAAAACCCTGCAAGGCACTTGCTAAAAGTCAGAACTGATTCAAAGATGTGCGCACATGCATGCACAATATTTTATTAAAGTTTTGTTAATGAAAGCTCCTGAAATTAAACTCTGCCAAAATTTGGGTCCTGAGACAAAATCATAATTATGAAAGTTTGTGTTTTAAAAACTGATTTTGGAATGTTGCCTGATTTCCTTAGGTAGATAAGGTTGAAAAGTTCAAGCACACTCAGAGTACCAAGGATTGCTTGCATGCCAAATATAACACAGCCACTTGTGGAACAGTAGTTGCAGATGACAAGTGGGGACATCTGCAAGTAGATGCAACTTCCCTTTACCTTCTCTTCCTGGCTCAGATGACAGCATCAGGTAAGCTATGTCATAATAATAGTGACCTTTGGAATTTCTAAGAAAAGTTCAGTGTTGTCATATCAGCTAGCTGTAAAAAAAATTTTAACTTCAATATTCAATTTGTTAATTGTTTTGCAATTCTCAATAAGCAGGAGTGGATAAGTTGGCATTCATGCCTCTAGTAGCTGGCTAAAATTCTTAGTCTTCCTCATCCTTAAGGAGTTCATCTATTAAATGTTGTTTCCTGAAATATTTTAATAGAGTTTAAGTATAAATTGTAAACATTGTTTGGCAAAGGATTGTATTTTAAGAAAAGCACCTATATGCCCATGCTTCTTTTAAAATTTGTTTATGTGAGAAATTTCCTTTAAGAATCATAAGCTACTGAATGGAGTAAGAACATGAATACTTCATTCTCCTAGTAGGTGGAGACATCATCCAGACATGAGTTAACTCTGTCAGTATCCAATAAGACTGAGTCTACCAGTTGATAAAACACACCCTCCGTAGTAGCTCCTCTTAGCTTAGACTCAGTCCTATCCTTGGACTGGCTGTGTCTTTTGATCTCTCCTGCCTTTATTTGACTAATTGGCAAGCTTTTTCATCTAAATTTCATCCTAATTCAGTTAATTGGCTATATCTATTTCAAATTTATTCTTACATGACTTTCATCGAATCTGTGGCTTCCCTGAGCCTCACAGGGCTTCAGGCCAGGGGCCTCTTCCAGGCCCTACGACTCGTCAACAGAGCAACAGGCCCATGGGTATATCCCTCCGCCCTCTTTTGCCGCCATCCCTGCTGTGTTGCGACTGGCGATCTCCCCCTTTGGTGCCTTTCTCTGTTCTGTGAGGCTGTGCGGCTGTGCGAAGGCTACCGTTTGAACTATGCTGCTCCCGCCGCCACCAATTCACAGCCGCCGCTGCTGCCATCGTTCAATCGCAGCCTCAGCTCTTGTTGCCGCCAATCCGACGGCCTAATTGGCGCGCCGCCTCTGCTAGCCTGCTTACTGCCTTCTGGCATTCCGGCTCGGGAGGCCTCTCCTCATTGTGCCAGTGACGCAGCAACCTGAGGAACGGCCAGGAGGCCATTAGCGAACTTGCTGGCGTTGTTAGCTCACTCTAACGCTCCCTCATAGAACTCATCGCTCCTGGTGGCCATCTTGTTTAGGCAGGAAAACCAGTGGCCATTTTGTGGAATTCCTGCAACTCAAGAGGTTGTGAATAATGGCCACCAATGTGTCTGATGCCGGTGTCCCCGGGTCCCCTGTGGAGTCCCCTCCAGCTACCGTCCACCCTTCTGCCCCTACTGAAGCAAAAACAAGGAAGCGGGGCAGTTCTGAGCGGGAGGATTCATCCTGGCCTGCCAAGGCCTCCAGGCCCAATTTACCACAGGATAAGGTCCCAGATAAAAAACAGGGCAGGACCCCAGTTTCTGTTCCCCGTAAGGCCCAGGCCAAATCCAAGCATTATGAGGTCTCTTCCCAACCTCCTTCGGTTCCTCTGCCAAGAGCACAAAGTCCCCCTAGGGAGCTCTCCACTGATACAGATGGAGACATTTCCATTCCTGCTTCCCCTCTTCAGCCTGAAGATTGGGTTGGCTTCCAGTTGAGGACAGGTCTGAAGGGGAAAGGAGCTTAACTCCCGATCTGGACGTTGTTAATCCCAGCCCTAGGGGCGTCCACTATTACCCCTCTGGTATGGTTGATATTATTTCAGCTGCCATTGAGCATGGCATTGCAGTAGGCCTTCAACATCGTGCTCCTGCGGCTTGAACTTCCAAGACTTCCAAAAACTCCAGGAAGGATAAGGGACATTCCTCTCTCATGGATAGGGCCCCTTCTGACTCTGTTTCCCAAGCGTCTTCCCTAGAGACTGAGGAGCAGGCTGCCAGAGGCTCTGATCTCTTGGATGATGAGGACCTGACACCTGCCCCTTCTACCTTGGTGGGACTTTTTAAACCTGTTTTATTTCATTCTCTTCTGTTCAAGGCTGAAAAGGTCTCTGGCATCCCAACCTCCAAACCAACCTCCGCTTCAGAACCAGACAAAGCTGATCCACTTTTCTCTCGTCCTACGGTTGAGAAGGACGTGGTCCTTCCCTCAAGCTTTTTCTGGAGGTGGTCCAGAATCAGTGGGCTTCTCTGGGGTTGGGGCCTCTCCCCTCCTCCCTGGATAAGCAGCTTTACAACATTGGTCCCAAACTTTCAAAGCTATTGGAGGTCCCTTTCATAGACCCCCCCAGTGGTGGCCCTCTCGTCCCCTAATGCAGCTACGGCTGCCCCAGAACAAGAGGTTCGAACAAACACTGGTCAAAGGTCATCAAGCCTCAGCGTGGGCAGTGCGGGCTGCCTCTTCGGCATCCTTTTTCAATACAGCTGCCCTACACTGGCTTGAGCAACTGCAAGGCAGGCTCCCGCCCTCAGACTCTAGGTCTCATCAAGAAATCAATAAGCTTAAGGCTGCCATCGAGTATTCTGTGGATGCGTCTCTGGATGCACTACTCTTTGCCTCAAAGGCCATTGCCTCCTCTGTGTCCAGCAGACGTCTCTTATGACTAAAGCAATGGCAGACGGATGCCAGGGCAAAATGGAGACTTGCCTCCTCCCCATTTTCTGCTTAGCTTCCCTTTGCCCCCCGCCCCATTTGAGCCTCTCTTGATTGATTCGAAGGACAAAAGGAAGATTCTTCCTTCTGCTCGCAAGTCTGATTCTAAACCTTCCTTTTTTCGCAGAACGTCCTTTCGAGGGACGGATGGGGGCTACAACTACCCCTGTCCCCAACGTCACCCCCCCTAGACAGGGACCTTCCTCCTATGACACATCTGGAAGGAACAACCAATGCTTCTCCTCCAAGAAGCCCTTCAGAGGAAGTCCCAATCGTCCTTTCCGGAAGCAGAAGTGACTCCTTGATGGCACTCCCCATTGGGGGTTGCCTATCGGCCTTTGCCGATCGTTGGGGAGACACCACCAATGACAAGTGGGTCTGGCAAACTATCAGATTCGGCCTAGCTCTGGAGTTTCTCTCTATCACCACCCCGCAGCATTTCATCATGTGTCCGGTCTCCAAGAACACTCTGAAATGAAGGTTGGTAGAAAAGGCAATCAGGCATCTCCTCCAAATTCAGGCCATTCTAAACAAATTTATAGTTTACCGGAGGTTCAGATTACATTCCCTGCGGTCCATCCTGGAGAGCGTCTGCCCAAACGACTTCCTCTCTTTGGTGGACCTCACGGAAGCATACCTCCATGTCCCCATCCTGGCGGAGCACAGGCAATTCCTTTGCTTCTCCTATGCAGGGAATCACTTCCACTATTGCACCCTTCCGTTTGGCCTGTCATCGGCCCCGAGGGTGTTTACCAAGGTTCTTGTGATCGTAGCTGCTCACCTCTGCTCCCTGCCAATCCGCATTCTTTGTTATCTGGATGACATTTTGTTGCTGTCCAGGTAACACTGGGCAGCGTCTTCCTCTCCCCGGAACGACGGGTGAGCATTCGCAGGCTAGTTTCGTCCACCAAATGACAACAGAGGGTTCCACTCCTCCAACTTCCGCAGTTGTTAGGGAAGATGGTCTCGAGCTTCCACATAGTGCCATGGGTTCGATTCCACAGCTGTCATCTGCAGTGGTTTTTGTTTTCCTATCAAAAGTCCAACTGCAGTCCAACATTCCAAGTACGCCTCACTCCAGAGGTAAGCAAATCCCTACAGTGGTGGCTGTCCCCTATCCTGGCTCAATGCACCCTTTTTCGGGAGCCTCAATACATCACTCTCACAGATGCAAGTCTCCTGGGTTGGGGTGCTCACATACAAAACCATGTAACACAGGGACTTTGGTCTCATTCCAACCTGAAAAACAGCATAAATTGGTTGGAGTTTATCTCGCGCTACTCCATTTCCAAAACATAGTGACCAATGTGCACGTACTCGTCCTTACGGACAACACTGCCATAAAAGCACATATCAACCGGCTGTGGGGAACACGGTTAAAACAACTAATGAGTCTATTGTTTCAGCTGGGGTCATGGGCGGAGGGACATTTCCTATTTCTCTGCGCAGAGCACATTTCAGGGATTCGCAACATTCAGGCAAACAACCTCAACCGAATGCAGATCGACCTGACGGAGTGGAGTCTTCATCGAAAAGTCTTCAGACAGTTATCGGACAGGTACAGCCTGCCGATCGTGGACCTCTTTGCTTCACAGGACAATAGCCAACTCCCCAGGTATTTCACGCGTTATGTGACACACGGGCTGAGGGCATCGACACACTTATGGTGCAGGTGGCCCTAAGGGCTCCTATACGCGTGTCCTCTGATTCAACATGTAATTCGGAAGATGTAAACAGAGCAGTCAGAGCTGATTCTCCTAGCTCCTTACTGGCCTTGCAGACCCTGGTTCGCGGACATGCTCAATCTATCTGTGACTCCTTCGTGGCAGCTGCCCCAGATCAGCTCTCTGCTCCTGCAGGGGTCATTCAGGCACCCCAACCTTTCTTGGCTTTGTCTCACTGCCTGGAGATTGAGCGGGAGACTCTAATGGCCGCCAATCTTTCAGTTGAGGTCATCCGGATGATTCAGGCCTCCTAACCGCATTTATGATGCCACTTGGACACAATTCTCCACCTGGTGCCAGCGGCAAAATATTGTCCCCTTGCAGGCTTCATCCTTAACGTTCTTCAGTTCCTCCAGCAGGGATTTGACAAGGGACTATCTCTGATCACTCTCCACCGTCAGGTGGCGGCCTTGTCATCCGTTATGTCCATCAGTATGTCAAAACCACTATCCCACCAACCGCTTATCCTGCGATTTCTCAGGGGTGCTACTAACCTCAAGCCCCCTACTGTCCATAGATTCCCTTCTTGGGACATCTCCAAGGTTCTGGACTCTTTAACACAGGCCCTGTTTGAGTCTCTGCACTCGACCACCTTGCATTATCTCATGATGAAGGTCGTTTTTCTTATAGCGGTCACCACGGTTAAGCGGATCTCTGAGCTGGCAGCCCTGTCAATCAGGCAAGACTTATGTACCTTCCATCCGGACAGGGTTGTTCTCCATCTGGACCTAGCATTTATACCCAAGGCAAACTTGGTTTTTCACAGAGCGCAAGAGTTAGTGCTTCCCGACTTCTGTCCTAACCCATCACATAGGCTTGAATGTAAGTGGCATTATCTCGATGGGCGACATGCTCTCCGAGTGTATATCAAGAGAACTGCCGATTTCCGACGCTCGGAGGCTCTCTTTGTCCGGTTTCAACCGGGAGGTAAGAAGGGATCCAAGGCCTCTTCTATGGAAGTTGGGTGTTGGGTTCGGACAGCAATTTCCAGAGCCTACATTGCTCTATCTCTTCCAATTCCACCCCACATCATGGCACACTCCACTCGCAGCGCGGCCACCTCAGCAGGCTGGTCTTCCCAGGCTCCGTTGGAGGAGATATGTAGGGCTACTCCATCTCTGTTCATTCGCCACTATAGGCTTGACAGATATGCTTCGGTGGAGGCTGCATTTGGACGGCGAGTATTACAATGTGTTGTGTCTGCCCAGGACGCCTGAGTCCTCATACTAAGCCCGCCCGTGGGACAGAATTGGCTTTGGTATGTCCCATGTCTGGATGATGTCTCCATCTATTAGGAGAATGGGCGTTGGTTACATACCTGATACGCCCCTTCTCTGATCGGTGGAGACATCATCCAGCCCCACCCTGTTGCCATGTGTAATGTGTATTATTTTTGTTAACAAGGTGGGATCTCACCTTTTTTTGCTTGAGTATTAAGACACAGCAGTCTACAATTGCACCTTCGTCTAAGATGGGAGGGCGTGTTTTATCAACTGGTAGACTCAGTCCTATTGGATACTGACAGAGTTCCATGTCTGGATGATGTCTCCACCGACCAGAGAAGGGGCGTATCAGGTACGCCCATTTTATTGTATGTGATTTATGTTGAATGTCTTAATAATGGTTCTTTCTTAATTAGGATTGCGTATTATTTTCACACTTGATGAAGTGGCCTTTATACAGAATCTTGTATTTTACATTGAGGCTGCCTATAAAGTTGCTGTAAGTATTTTCATGGGTATTCCATATCCAAACTTTGTATAATTTGAAATCTCCCCACTTAATAATGATAGTCATTGCCTTATCCTTTTTAATCTCTAAAGTTTGAGAGTTCTTAGCTACTTTACCCAAGACATCTTTAGCCCAGCTCTAGGAAAATAGAAAGGAACATTCTTTGGGCCCTGCTGTCTAAATTCCAGAAATGTAGAATACCACAAATCTTGTTCCAATTCTGGAATAACAAGGTGTAACTATGTAACTATGTAACTATGCAATCTTGCATATTAAATGTTATATTTTCTCAAACCAAAATGTAACAATCAAAGAATTCCAAATAAATAAAATCCATATAGTCAGCCTAGCTCAGGGGTCTGCAACCTTAAACACTCAAAGAGCTATTTGGATCCATTTCTATTTGGATCCATCCCTGACTTATGGGGTACCGCAGGGTTCGGTCCTGTCCCCTCTCCTGTTTAATATCTACATGAAACCGCTGGGTGAGATCATTCGACGGCACAGGATAAAATACCATCAGTA